CTAGTACCAGTGATCAGAAAGTGGCGGGAGTGTGGCGTGCTGACCGGGACGTGAAGTGACCATTTCTGCTGGACGCAGGGTGTGGATCGGATCATTGGGCCAGTGGACAGCATCGGAGCAACATGGTCAAGCGTGGAGCTGGACAATGTGTACTTGTACCATGGATCACCCAAACTTATTGTACTTCGCTACCGGAACCCCAACTGGGCCAGCTCGGCTACACAACACCTTTTCACATACATCAGGACGAATTGTTGAGACTCTATGGCCGGGCTCCTGCTTTCTTTGGGTTCAGTTAGAAGCCCATTTGGATAGAATGTGCTCCAGTTGTACCAGATTCTGGTGACAGTAATGCTCAGATACATCATGTACGCCGCTGTCTACAGATTTACTGGATTTTATTGATGACAAACAATAGAGTAAGCAAACTTTTTCCATTTTTCCTCGTTTTTTTTTTAACCATAGCATGTGGCTTTCTTTGTCTTGAGTATCTTGCCCCTGAATGCACAGATCCAATAGTTGCTTCTGTAATTTGGGGAATTTTGAAGCACCAATCTTGTGTTTAATTCGTTCGTAAAAGAAGCTGTCCTGTTTTGCATGTACATACAACTATAAATAACTGACTCGTGTTTCATCAAAGGGAATTTTTAATGTCGCTTCCAAAATATGGGATTTCAGAAAGTACCTGAAGAATTTCATGTTGAACACTACTGTCCAAATTATTTTTATATGAATTATGAAATTTTTAACTTGTGCTTTTTGGATACTTTTACAGCTCAGCGGAAGCAATATACAGAGTATATTTCGAATGGCACATAAATACACTCTGTCTTAAGCTCGGCAAATGTTTTTTGTAAAATAAAAAAAACACAAATTGTACAGAAATTAGTGTAGTTGATCTAAACCATTAGGCCTACTACAGCCGATACTAAGTACATGTACTTTCAAACTCTTGGCTGCCTTTCAGGTTCTTCAAAAAAAAACAAATTAACTTGTGCTTTTTGGATACTTGCACAGCTCAGCGGAAGCGTTCCCCATGAAGAGTAGATTATGGAAGATTTCCCCTCAATTTCCCCTTCCCCCTCAATGAATCCCCACCTTTCTTTCCCCAACCCCGTCTCGCACGTCAAAAGCTCTTTGATGTACCTACATGTACTGTACATGCGTGCCTTGGGGTATAACTTTGTTCCGCACGCATTGCCTGGCCGTGCGGTTAAGCACTAGTCAATTGACCATGCACATGTAATTTGCTATACGTCCTGTAAGTGGATAGACAAGTTGGTTCAATGGCCGACCAGTTTTGCAAGTAGTCTACTCGGATACGATGTAAATCTTTCAGCGTGTCAAATATTCATGTGGACGAGAGAATGGTATTGCATTCTGGGATTGTTCTCCTTCGGTGCTTGTTGTTGCGATCTGCTTACAAAGGTTTGTTTCATCAACGAATGTCATGTGATTTGAGTTTTGAGTCATTTTTTTCTTCAGGTACATGTACATGTGATGAATTGACACATTTCAAATGTATCTTAACTGTTTTCTTTCTTTTTTCCTGCACGCGTTCTTAAAGACGAGACGCACGCGCATTTTGCTATTCCTAGTGGTCCAAGGAGCCCTGAGTGCATGTGTACTACATGAACCTGAGCGCGACTCGCGCAAGCCTTGCGCCACCGCAGAAAATGGCTGCCGCCGGATTTGTCAATACTTGATATTCAATTGCTTTTGTTTGTGAAAATAATTCATGTTTACAACCTCTTCCAAGCATTTTGTTCTTACATTGTACAACTGTACAATGTACGTGTACATTACCTGTACAGTAAAACACCGCAATAGCAAACACCGCTATAATTTACATTTGGCGATAACGAACATCCCCTTTGCTTCCTGAAATAGTAAATTTGAATATAATGCACATTCACTATAACAAACACCCACTAAACCGAACATTGTTTATAGACCCCATAATGTTCGTTATACTGCAGTTTTCGTGTTCACAGTTGTATGCATATTGTCAATATGTTAAAAATATTCTTTGACTCTTACGTACATGATACGGTAGTTATGAACTGATACATGTAAACTTTAATGAAAAGCTTCAGCTAAAAAAAAAAATGCTTTAGTTACCACCTCTGCACAGTAAAACAGATATTGGTAGGGCTCATATACATGTACATTGTACATGTACACGTGTGGATTAGGCATCAACATATAATGCATGTACAATGTACACGTTGCGTAGTTTGACCCGCATATTGTGTTGTTCATTTCAATCCTTCTGGATGTATTACATCAGGCTATGACAAAGCAGTTGACCTCTTAGTCAGCTTGTTTTCCCCGAAAACACAAAAGAAGGGTTTGGCTATATTATTTATTTTATCTGGAATCTGACTCACCATTGGTTGAGTATTAACTGGATGTTTTCTACCCAAGTTTGTTTAGTTGAAGGGGGTCATTTCAGGTACAGGTCATTCAACCTTGCTTTTGCTTGGAAAATAAAAATCAATTTTATTTTTTTCAATGTTCCTTTAATATTAATGTATTTTATTGTAAGTGTATAATGCAGTGAATTGAATTCTGCTTACTTGCATGTATTTTTGTTGAATGCGGATGTCAAAGAGTTGATCAATTAATATGTAAACAAAACGAAGTACATGCATGAACTGTTTTCGTATTTTTGTTGAATTTGGAAGTCCAGTGCTGTATAATTAGTTGATAAGTTCGCGGAATTGAGAACTTCAATTTTACATGTAATTTTATAATTTACATGTAGTTGTTTGTGTGTGGCCAGTACCGGTAGATTGATGTCACGGAATGTCACTTTCAGTTGACATGATCTGTCTGAACGGAAGCGTTCACGGGAAATACTAGTCGCATGGGTTCATCGACCTCCAACATTTGACAGGAAGAACATTTTTACGAGCGTAGACAGCACCGCAGGAGTCCTGCACATGCTCGGCCTGATCCCAATTTATAAATTTCCTCCTCTTTTGTTTTTTCTGACATTCCAGATGTTTTCCATTGGGCCGTTTTGATTTCAGAGAAAGATTTCCATTCAGGTTTCTCTGGGTTTGTTCAGTCTCATAGCTGACTTTTGAGAGTGAAGTTGACGTTTCGAGTGTTGAGTCGGCTTTTCGAGTCAACTTTTCAAGTTTTGAGTTACCGTAACTCCCCAAGTTTCAGGATAAATTACTGTGAAACTCATAAAAGCACACTTGAAAAGCAAAGTCAACTGAAAACAAAAGTTGTCAAGTTGAAACTCAAAAAGTCTACCAGAGCCTTGAAAAGTTGACTTCAAATTCAGGAAGTAATGTATACCGGTACTAAAAAAAACTCAGAAAGCTAATTTGAAACTCAAAAAGTCAACTGGGATCTCAAAATTGTCCACTTGAAATTGGAAAGTCAACTGGAAATTCCAATGCACAAAAGCCAAAGCTACGGTATATTAAAAGTGAACTAGAAACTTGGAGGTCATCGAAAGAAAGTAGGGCTTGATTCTGCAGTATAGGTACATGCACTTGTTATCTTATGATAGGAGAATTTTTTTACAAAGTGCAGTTATCCCCTGGGAATTCTATGTTTTTTTTTAGTTCATTATCAGCTTGATGCTAAACATGTTGCATTTTTAGCAGAGGCTGGTTTAAAGGAAATACATGTATATGCCTACAACATTTGTAAACACCGAAAAACAAAACCACCAAATTATTATGAACTTTGGATGTAGGCCTACATGTGTAAGTGCATAACAGTCTCAAGCATCCTGTGAAATCATGGCACCTGGTGTGTTGTCAATTTTAAGAAAAGTGGACTTTTTGTAGGCCTACTAATTTCCAATGCTGCTCTGTTTTGTCTGAAGCAGGGTCACGGAACCAGACTACAAGAACAGCTTTTTGTTTCTTGGTTTTTGCAGCATGTACATGTATCAACACAAAACTTCGAAAAAAGTTATAAAATCTTCGATTTACACCCTAAACAAACGTGTGTGTAAAATACTAATTCTCAAATCCATCCGTTTCTGAAAATTACAGCATAAGCAAACGTTGTGTATTACCTTTAAAGAGGGGGAAAAAATGGCATTCCAAGGAAAATGAAACCATCGGGAGATAATAATATCCTAGGATATCAAACGTGATTGCCAACGATAATGGCTGTTTGACATTTGGAACGAAAACTAACGTCACGCCTGATTTGGAAACTTCTGCATTATTTTTGAGATTCTTATCAGCACACTTGTGTGTATTTATAGAACATAATCTTGTTTTGCATTTTTCCTCTTTGACCAAATGCGATTGTGTAAAAGGTGTTTTCTTTAAAGTTGCCTTCTTGTGTGTGATTACATTGTACATGAAACAAGCTTTAGTTTTGATCTTTTTAAATTGCTTCAAGCTTAAAGATTTGTTTCATAAATGTAATTTACGACATGTGCCCCATGTTTGATTTGAGTTGTGCAGCCTTCCAAACCGCATGTGGATTTTAGCTAGAAACCATGGGCAAGTTTGCGCAAGAACTATTGTTGACCGTTGGTTAACCATAGTTCGACTAAAGTTAGCCCGAACTCTGTCTAGTCGACAATGGTTGACTATGCTAGTCGACTATTTGGAACCAACCTACTGGGGCTGGTTGCATCGCTGGTAACCAATAGCTGCGCGCATTCATAACGTACAGCAGGGAGCCAGGATCCAGACGTTTTGCGATGACATTTTGACCAGCGTTTGACAAGAGACGTTCGCACGTTGCTATCAGTGCGCAGGCATAAGGTACGTCACAAATCAAGCACTAGTCGACTAATGATCCTTGCCCGAACTTGGCCCATGATTCCAGGAAATCCACAACAGTGTACGTGACATAAATCTTGCAATCTTATACTAGAACTTTCACTAGAGTTACTCCCACATGGTGCAGTTCGTGCCAGTGGCTTTACTTCCCTATTTGAATTCTAAGCTCTGATGTGTTGTGTTTCTTTTTTGTTTTTCCATTCCCTTCCCTTGGTTTTGCCGTATATACAGGTATATCGAGGAACATGTCCAGAAGACGGGGGTTGCCATCGAGACTCAGGGATTCACCTTTGTCACGAGCGGTCGCAAGCGAGAGTCACTCACGGTAGGTTGCTTCTCATACCCTATTGATATCGTGGGATGTCAGGCTATTGCCGTTACTACCACATAAAGCCCGGTTCATACTGCATGCGAACGCGAAGCGAATTTGACGTCTTTGAAACATTAGCTGCGAAACTCTCCCGAGTTGAAATGTGTTCAACTTTTACGAATTCGCAGCGCAAGTACTCCCCGTGACGTCACTTCGTGTTCACTTTTGCTTTCGCGCCGAGTATGAACCAGGCTTTATGGTGGTGCTCATTTGTGTATTCCTAGGTGGAGAGAAGAAACGTTGGTGAAGTGGCTTGCTCAACAATACAATATCACGTTAACAACCCTCTTATAATTCCATCTTATATTAGTTTATGTGGTACCCGCTGTCATGTACATCAGATTCGAACTGGCCAACCGATCTCGTTAGCTCGGTGGTCGAGTGGTAAGCCATCTGCACTAGAAAGCAGGAGGTCGTGGGTTCGAGTCCCACCCGAGTGATTTTTTCCAACTTTCACTCGGGAGGTTACACACTGAGTATACAGTGTTTAAACGTCGGTGAAGGGCAAAACCTAATTTGAACCCTCTTATTGTTTGATCATTCAAAGACAATCAAAAATTGTTTCCAAGTGCACTTCCCTTTCCATGCATAGCAAACAGATCACATTCATGTAAACACTGTGACTAGTCAAATTTAACCAAGAGACAAAAGAGGTAGGTAGCAGATTATACAGCCGGCATGTCAGTCAAAGCATGGCTGTATCAAATTAACAAGGGAATTCTTAACTGTTAAAAACAGTCACTTGAATTTGCCAGCTAGAGAGGAGGGGTACATGTATCCAACCAAATGGCAAGATTCATGTGCTGTTATGAATCAAAACTTTGTTCGCGTTGGAGTTGAGATGTTCATTAAAACTGTTCATTATAAGGTAGCAATTCCATCTTTTGAAAGACAGCAATTCAACCAACCATTCACTTTTTGGGTCTTACACTGAATTTGGTCTGAGCAGATCTATGTTAATTCGGGCGATTCACAATGCAGTGCGCCACCAAGAGTTTGCCACGGAGAGTTAATTTTTCCCAGTCCATTGTGGGAGATGGTCGACAAATTTGCAGCGCGGGACATTTGAAATTATTCGTTTTTCCTGCCAGAAAGTTCGTAAGCGTATGATTCAGGTATCTGGTTGCCCTTTTCTTTTTGTTTTATCAATATGGAGTTTTTTTGTAAGGCGGCAGAACGCTTTGCCCCATCTATAACAAATTAGCTCAAGTTTTCTACTGACACTCTTTCAAATGGGCCATGTTTTGTCGACCGTGACTTTGAAAAACGAACTCTCCGTGGCAAACTCTTGGTGGCGCACTGCATTGTGAATCGCCCGAATTGTTGTGTAGTGAAAGTTTTGACTTGAAGATTATGTAGAATTTGATCACGGGTTACAACTTGCCTGAAATATCGTTTTGTGCAATGCAAGGAGACCATTATGCCTGGGATCTTTACAATATTGCAACTGCCTCTTTGCAATATATTGCAACTGCATGCGTGCAATTACCGCACCGACACTCTGTACTCATTACAATCAACCTCGGCAAAGATTTTCCCCGGATTCTCCTCGCTGACACTAATGGAGAGGTGATAAGATAACAGCTGGCAAACTGTGAAAGCTCACTCTGCAGACGCTCTTGTTTTTTCCTCTTTCTTTTTTACCCCCTTTTGCTCTTAAGAGCGCGGCTGGCATATCGCAGTAGGCACTTGCCTTGTTTCGCTGGGGAATCCAAACGATTATATCGCCCACGTCAGGGGTCGCATCTGGGCCCCCGCGGCAAGAAGGCAATTAGCGCTTGAGGAAAAAGAAACTGATCCCAATCTTTTGTCAAACTTAACTTAGCATGCAATATCTTGCGTGGTGAGTAAAGTGAACATTATTTGGTTCTTCTTTTTTTTTCTGGGTTGAAAGTATCTATATTGATATTCACAACATCATGTACCCTTTTCTTTTGGAACTTTGACATTCTGCAGTTGTTTAAAAATGGATTTGCCATACATGCGTGTCGTGGTCATTTATTCATCAAACTAGTTTGTCATGCATAAAAAAAAATCTTTCTTGGACCCACGCACATTAATGCCTCCCTTATGTTAACATTTAAAATCAAAGGCTTTTAGCCTTTGCACATTCAGGTACTTCACTTAGTAATTTTTAAATGTGGTTTTTCGTGAGTGAGGAAATAAAAACAAGGCTTAAGGCTAATTTGGCGACAGCCATTTTCTGAGGTGGCACCGCGGTAGCGACACCAGGCACCAGGCTCGCGCGAGTTGCGCTCAGGTAGTACGCACACACTCCGGGCACCTTCAACCAATAGTGTCACCAAAATAAGCGCGCCTTGTCTTTAAGAGTGCCTGCGGTGTGCCCACGAGCATGGCACCACCTCAAAAATTGCTTCTAATTTTGTTTGCTAGATTACACTGTCTTATGGTCACCTTAATTGTCTGAGACTTGTAATTTGTGAGAGATTAAGCACCCCCTTCGCTCACAATTTAGTTGATTTAGTATTTATGCCTGCCAAAACCTCGTTAGGCAAAACATGCTGGGACTAAAAACAAGGCATTATTGTGGAATGTGTAATCTCTTATTATCATTTGAAAAATTGTTGACCTGCCGTTTGTCACGTTCTCAATGTAAACCCATATAAGTTTATCAGCACATATGCACACAGTATCGCCTGCTCAGTGTGAGTGTGTTCTCTTTCGTTTCATTGGCCAGGGTTTTTTAGCCTGTTGGTCAACAAGTCGATGGCTTTGCTGGCCTTAAGTCCTGGCTGACCATGCATGAATTGACCTCTGGTGAAGGTTAACTAGACACAGTGGTCACGTCGTCAGTCCGGTCGCTGTTACATTGACCACAATATCTCCTGCTTTTCTTTATCAGATTACAATGATCTTTTTTAATGTGTGTAGGCCTACTCGACGAAACGTGCTGGTCCCTTTTTCTAGACTTCTGTTTCAAGGAGAATACTATAAAAGGACATCATTTAGCCATGTTGTTATGTAATTTGTTATTATAAAAACCTTAATGAGGACTCATCAAAAGCACCCAAACGTGAAGCTGACAAGCGTGAAGAAACCATTGGAGATATACATGTAACTTCAGGTAACATGTATTTTGTTGTAAACCCAAAGAATCAGGCAGAAGCTGAAAAAATCCCACCTAATTCACAAGTGGGCTTTGTGGGATTCGAACCAGGTTCACGGAGGTGAAAGACATGGAAAGTTCCCATGCAAGGGGGGATTAACCCAGATACAATTTCTGAGAAAACCCAAAACCATAAAATCAAACGGGTACAGAAACTGAAACATCCAATCCACACGTCGGTCTGGGTGGGCTTTGGGTGGGCTTCGAACCTGGGACACAGAGGCAGAGGGCAAGGACTGGTGTTCTAGCCAGCCAGGACATTTCGGTAACAGCATCTGGACCATAAGAAAACCCTCATGAGCTTGTGGTCACTGTGGATGTTATTTGTAAACATTCCCCAAAGTCTGGCCCACTGGCCTGAGTGTCCTCATAGGGTCAGCTATGTGCTAGGCCCCCTTGATCCAATTATAGAGAGTTGTGACATCTTTATGTCCAAGCACTGATGGCCAGTCTGGTGGTCAGTGGTCACCCTGGGTGACCCTTGGTTATCTGGCCACAGCCCTGGTGGTCATGTTGGTGCAGTAATTATGGGCTGTGGTGATCCCACTGCTTCCCCACTGTGCAGAGTGACTTTTGCCCAAGTTACAAAACACTGTGGTTGGAAACACATTCTATTTTGGGTAAAATCGTGGCATGTGTTAAGGCTGTGATAACTTTAGTGCAGTTAGTGTGGTTAAATATTTGTGTGTGTGTACTGTACATGAACCAACCAAATATCATTTTGGCTTAAACAAAAAAAGACCTTGGTACCAACAGTTCTTGTACCGGTACTTGGCCTTAAGTTTAAAAAAAATGTGTCGGTACATTACATTCACACTTAACATGTTACTGAAATTGTAAGGGTTTATACTTTACAACAATGTGCATACATGTACATATGTACATGTACATTGTACGTATACATTTACCTTTGTGGTAAATACACAAGTGAATATATTGATTTAATTCCAGTACTCTGTACATGAAATCCTTGCATTGGGACTGCTTTTGTCAGTTCCATTCTTTTTTCACATATTTGGAAGGGAGGGGGCCGATTGTGCTTTCGTTTTACTTCATTTTGCATATTTTTTTTTTTTAACAATTGTGGCCTTGGTTGTCCTAACCACTGCTCAGTGGTCGTCTGGCTATCTTGTTTAGTTGAGAGCTTATGGCGTATTGAGAATACCCATAAAGAGAGATCAGAGTGACCATGCCAGGAACTATGGAGCACCAACCTTGGGAGCTCTGGTCAGTTCAGACATGTTTATTGATTGACTGGACAATCAAAGGGGGGGGGGGCTCAAGGATGTCTGGACATCCCGGCTGGTCCATTCTCAAGGATGGGGGTGTCCAGGGAGGAGAGGAGGGTGCGGCCGGCTGTAAAGTTCCACAGACGGTTAACGTACATTGGATGCAAGAGCTGGGGCAGAGCGGGAAGCTGTAATTTTTTTTTGTGCGGACACACCTTAGAAGCTTTTCTTTAGACCATTACAGTGCCGTTAGAGTGGATTTTTCCGTCCTGATGAGGATATTTTTGAGGTCTTCTGACCTAAAGCCGTCCATGCGCTTGCATGGAAGGAGAAAATCAATTTGCCATGCATTTTCAGCAGTGGAATTAAGAATACGATGAGTTTTTTAATGCCATATTTGTCCAAAACGGATACATCCATGGAGTGCACATATGGTTTGACTTGTCTGGATACTACCTGATGATGTGTGGCCACACAGATGATGTTTGTCAACAATTGCTGTAAGTTTATATTTTTGTTTAAGCATGTTGTTCATGTAGATGTTTTCTTTATATGGTTCATGTAGTTTCTCCGCAGTGGGAATTTTTATGACCAACATT